ACTGTAAATGGACACAAGGGATTTTATCGGAGGGATGAAAATGCTGTAAAACTGATTTATGGTTAATAGTTGCACCACTCAGTAAAGTTACCCAAAAAAATCACTGGACTGTGCACTTGGGTGAATTTTATGATATGTAAGATATACCTCATGAAAGTTGTTTTAAAAAAGAGAGAGAGGAAAAAAAAAGAGATAACCTGAAATTCCTTATGACTGTGGCAGGAAGGCTAGAATATCATCAAATCTGGCTTTTAAAGTCAGGTGAGAGATGTGAACTCTGTACACCTTCAAATTGCCACTTTGCAGACATTTTTTTTAAATAAATCTATTTATTTATTTACTGTGGCCATGCTGGGTCTTCATTGAGGCAGTCTCAGTAGCTGTGGTGCACAGGCTCTCTAGTTGCAGCACGTGGGCTCTAGAGCATGAGGGCTCAGTAGTTGCAGCATGTGGGATCTTAGTTCCCTGACCAGGGATTGAACCCGGGACCCCTGCATTGGGAGCATGAAGTCTTGACCACTGGACCACCAGGGAAGACCCGCCACTTTGCAAACTTTAAAACTGAATAATAATTTTGCATTATTATGTTAAAATTTTATTACATATGTATAAAAAATTATGATCCTTAAAAGTTGCAACATGATTGCTGTCAAATAGCTATTATATATCAATATGAGCACATGTAGTATTCTTAGATCATAATTTATAAAGTAGGAGACCTGAGAGATCCTTCAGTTCGGTCCCTGGATTGCTCAGATGAGCCCAAGAAGAGTTGATAAACTGCTTAAGGTAACGTGGAGACTTGCGGGTGGAGCTTTCGTATCAGGCCTAAAACATATCTGTCCTGCATTCTTTTTAATATAGGATTTTGTTTTAATAGTGTAAAGAACCTAACAGCTGGACCTAGAATGATAATAGTTTCTTTAACTTGTATAAACCCTTTTTTCTTATTGAAACTAGGAAAACCTCTGCATGTTAGCGTCAATCAAACTAAATAACAAAAAGCATTCCTCTATTTTGGAAGAAAAGTGGATGACTCCTGTTTCTTTCATTATTGCTTTGAAAGAAGCTGGACTGAATATCTTCCCTACTGGACACTCTCACTTTTATGTTGTTATAAACTATAAGGTAAGAATGAATCTTTCCAAATTTAATGTGCTGGACATTTAGAATGTTAGCAAGTGTTAAATTTTATATAAATCTTAAGGTACACCAATGGTTTTCTATATTCACTTATATAAGATTCTAGTTAGAAAGGAAGGAATAAATAGCATGACCAGAAATCCAGGGTTCTCTCAAATTTAATAATCTATTGTATGATCTTCATAATGACACATGGAGCATAACCACAGCTGGTCAGTTTAGTGCAAAGGTAGAGTCTGAGCAACTTCCCATTTCCTATGCTTTCTTTCTCCTTCCAGACTGGATATGTGTAAGATTTCTTAAAAGAGTAAATGACTCAGCAGTTTCCCAAATACGATAGTCAGGCAAAATTAGACATACAAGGACCACCAAACTCACTTCCTTCTATTTCTCGACAGAGCCTCCCTGTCTGTGTACAGCTTCATATGACGCATAAGTTTAGTGAAATGAGATCCTTCCATGTTAAACTGCGAGCTCCTTGAGGGGGGTGGCCGTTTCTTAATCAGCTTTGATTCTTCTAGCACCAAGCCTATTTCTAGAATACAATAGATGTTTAGCAAATATTTACGATGCATGAATGAAGACAAAGTGGCTTCTAATCATGAAAGGTGTTTTGGGCAGAAGAGTTCTATACTCAAGAGCGAGTTTATAATATACCAGAAAATGGCAATATAGGTAGACACAACATTCGAAAATAATCCTGTCAATAAGAGTGCATACGTATATGCGTAGGGGAAAAAAAACCAACCTTAGTTTTAGTAACTCAAATTGCCAGTTACTCTACAAATGCTGAATGTCATATACTAGTCATCGTTTCAGAATATTATACTCAAGACTTTTTTTTTTCTGAACACCTATATTCTAGACGTTGTTTTAGATGCTTAGGAAACAGTGAATAAAACACAGGTCCCTGCCCTTGTGGAGCTTACATTCTAGTTGAGGGAGGCAAAAATAAACAGCAAACATAATAAACAAAATTATCTTATATGCCAAAAGGTGCTAAGTAGTATGGAAAAGGAAAGTTACAATAACAGGGTGTAGCGGGGAGAGGGGTTCAATAAGGAGACAAGATTTGAGCAACGCTTCAAGGTGGGGAATTTAGCCAAGTTGATATCTCTGGAAGGATATCAGCTTCCAGGTGGAGAGAAGACCTGGGGAAAGAGCCCAGAGGGCGTGGCCTGGTGTGTTTGAGGTTGGGAGGGACAGCAAGGAGGCTGGGGTGCCAAGAGAGCAAAGGGAGAAGAACAGGGGATAAGGTCAGAGAGATAATGGGGTGTACGGGGCATGTCAGACCACAGAAGCCCTTGTGGAGCATTGTTAGGACTTTGGATTCTACTCTGAAAAGGGAAGCCGTTGCCCCATTTTGAGAAAGAAGTCATGTAATCTTACATTTCATTTTATGTTTTTAATATTTGAATTTTTATTTATTTTTCAGTTTTTTTAAATTTTTATTGGATTATAGTTGATTTACAATGTTGTGTTAGTTTCTGCTCTACAGCAAAGTGAGTCAGTTATACATATATACATATATTCACTCTTTTTTAGATTCTTTTTCCATATAGGCCATTACAGAGTATTGAGGTCCTTGTGCTGTACAGTAGGTCCTTATTAGTCATCTATTTTATATATAGTAGTATGTATATGTCAATCCCAATCTATCTCCCAATTTATCCCTCCCCCCCCTTTTCCTCCTTTGTTAACCATAATTTTGTTTTCTACATCTGTGACTCTATTTCTGTTTTGTAAGTAAGTTCATTTGTACCATTTTTTTAGATTCCACTTATAAGTGATATCATATATTTGTCTTCTCTGTCTGATTAACTTCACCTGACTTACATTTAAATGGATCTGTGTTGAGACCAGACCACACTGTAGGAGGCCAAGGATGGAAGGGAGACTAGAGAGGCTCTGCGATCAACTCTATTTGTTTGTATATTGACAGCTTCCTTTGGTAGAAGTGAAAGCTTATCGACAAATGGCCCTGTTAAGTTCTGCTTTTGCATTTGGTTGGAGCAAGTGGAATACAGTATGTGATTCTAACAAAGTTGTATTTCAGGTATAGTATGCAAAAACCCCAATAAACTATTTTGTGCTCCAAAAGAAGATACTCAAAAGCTAAATGAATGTAGACCATGGTTTCTCCTTTTAAAAAGGTGAAAAAGATTAACATTCAAAATGGAGTTTTACAACTTCATTTTCTTTAATTTTGTCAAAAATATAAAACCAGGGCTTCCCTGGTGGCGCAGTGGTTGAGAGTCTGCCTGCCAATGCAGGGGACGCGGGTTCGTGCCCCGGTCTGGGAAGATCCCACATGCCGCGGAGCAGCTGGGCCCATGAGCCATGGCCGCTGAGCCTGTGCGTCCGGAGCCTGTGCTCCTCAACGGGAGAGGCCACGACAGTGAGAGGCCCAAGTACCGCCAAAAAATAAATAAATAAATAAAACCAAACCATGTAAAGGTTATACTTTCATTGTCCATTATGGTATCAAATGCTCTTGATTTCAGGCTTAGAGACCTTATCTCTCTTTACATCAACTGAGGAACAAATGTCAGCCTTTCACGTGAATATATCTATGATTCACAGACTTTCTCCTCTGAGAGGGTTAGGCCTCCAATTTAACTTTCTGGCACATTTCCTACTGCCTGATAAAGAATGTATCTTATCAAATTCTACAAGATGACTGATGAATATTTTAGCATAAATGAGCCACCATATTTATCTATCTTGTTCATTGTGTGTTTCTCCTATTACAATATAAGCTCGTTGAAGACAAGGTTTTTACTGTTGCAGTTGTTAGTTACTTATTAATACGTTTAGTTATTTTTTCTTTGTTGTTGTCTTATCCGCAGCACCTAGAACAGTACCTGACACTTGAAGCCATTCAATAAATATTTTTTAAGGAATTTTAATACATTTTGATAAGTTGATGAACAGTTTCATGCCTTAAAAAAAATGGGACATTAAGACTGTTTCTTTTTATCTTAGCAATTCAGGGAACTCAACTGAGCCCTTCAAATAAAATACTCTACTGTCAAAATACCCAATAAAAGAGGGAACTATTAACATATTTTTCTTTCTTTTTCCTTAGGTGAGGGAACACCTTCCTAAAGAAGAACCCATTCAAAATCCTAATTGGACCCTTTTAATGTTTAGTGGTGATAGGGCACAAAGTCTCAAAATCAATGAATCCAGTGATGCATTCTCTGAAGCCCTTAAAGAAGAAACTGAGTTTCATTCTACTTTATATCACATGGTTAAGGATTTTGCTTCTAAAGAAGCAATGAAGAAAATTAGGTGTTCCAACTGCCAGTTTGTTGACTCTGTATGCCACATGCTACTCTCAACTAGATTACTCAGCTATTCTTAATCCCCACTGATAAATTTTATTCAGTATGAAGAATGAAGCAACTTGGAGAAAAATCCGGTATTTCTACAATAAAGTGTAATGAGTGAATATATGCCAAATAGGCTGTTAAAATGATCTAATCAGCATTTTACACTCAAATTTTATTTTCTAAGAATTAGGGTTTTTTTCCTTATGCATATGTGACCTACTGAGACTTCCAACATTCACTGTATGAAAATTTGAATGGTTCTTTATTTCAATAAATTTTAACAAACAATATCTCCTCCTCAAAAAGCTCATTAAAAAAAATCATATAGGTGGGCTTCCTCCCCACTGTATTTTAGTTAGGAAGGTAATCACAAAAAGAGGGGATATAAAATATCTTACAGTCATTCTGAGAACCTCTGGTTCCATGCTATAATTTCCCAGCTAAAAGCTACTAATTTACAAAGTTCAGATACTGAAACTTTAAAAATCAAGATTAGCATTAGCACACTAGGATGTGCTGCAGTCACACTGGCGGTGGCCCATTGTGTTGGAGTCTGGTAAATGGCCACAAGATATGTTCTAGAGACATCCAGGAGTCCCCATCCTGTGTGGGAGCAGCATCCACAGACTTCTGGAAAAATCGGCCTGTGAAGAAACTCATCAGTGCCGCAAATAGTACAACGAACGCGACAGAAAGCCAGAGTGCCTTACTGGCCTCTCTGATGGAAGTCTTGAGATTTGTTGTCCAGGAAGCTATTGTGTTATAACTACAAGGAAAACACAAAATCAGCATGTGGTAATCACAGTAATCTGTTATTAGAAACACTCCTTTTGTCAACAATAATCAAGTCATGCGTCTGCCCTGCATAATTCCACCAAAACCCCCTTGTAATAAGCTACATAGTATGATCTAGCCTCTTGGCTTTGGCCACAATCTGCTTCCCACACCCCTTATAATTTTTAGAATTAAAGAAATGATGTGCTAAGGTAAGAATCTGAAAATTATGTGATTTAGGCATTACTTAACTCCTAACAAGTACATTTGAGTATTAAGTTCATTTTTTCAATCAAGGAAGGCAATTTATATTCCTGGGGTAGAAGAAATAATGTTATTCATTGGGTAGAGCAAGATATATGTACTTATAAACATGTCACTTATTTCTCACCATACCCTGGACTTTTGCTGTACTGAAACGCTAAAATTCCTTTTAGAAACACCCACCAAAAAGCTTATTACAGCATCATATAAGTCTTTGAAAATAGTTAACTATGTGTTTTACATGTGCTAATTCATTTACTCATGACAGCAAAGCAATGACATAGGTACTATTATCATCTCTATTTTATAGGTGGTGAAATCAGTGCTCAAAAATGGATGAACTTGCCCAGGTCACACAGAGTCAGAGAGCTAATTCAAGCCTGGGCCATCTGGTTCCAAGGCCAAATTCTTAACACTGTGAACTCACCTGCCTCTTGTAGTTCGTAGGTTCAGGGATAATTGTTAAACACCATATGGAGTTTGTTATTCATCTTAAATTTAACATTTTGAAAGGTCTTTTAGTAAAGTGATTTGATTAAGATTAATTCTGCTAACCCTGCCTTACCTTTCCCCATTCCACCAAAATGGTATCATTTAGCAAGTAGACAACTTACATTGAAAAGACATCCCATTTTGATGGACTATTTTTCTTTTCAGAAAGACTTGGCTTTCTTGTCCTTTCTACTGTTTCTTCTTCAGGTGGTTCTGAGTCATCTTTAGTTCTGTAAATAAATATTGTTTTTAAATATTAAACTATGGATAATGTGCTATTATTATTTATAAGATACTGCTAAATTTTCCTGTATTACTAAGGAAGCTCACAGATATTCGTTTTGCTTTAGAAAGATTTGATAAATAGTAATTCTAAAAGTCAAATCACCAACTTTATATTTTTAACCATTTATAGGAATTTAATTTTCTTTTTTTTGTTGTTTTTGTTTTGTTTTGTTTTGTTTTGCGTTACGCGGGCCTCTCACTGTTGTGGCCTCTCCCATTGCGGAGCACGGGCTCCGGATGCGCAGGCTCAGAGGCCTTGGCTCGGGCCCAGCCGCTCCACGGCATGTGGGATCTTCCCGGACCAGGGCACAAACCCGTGTCCCCTGCATCAGCAGGCGGACTCTCAACCACTGTGCCACCAGGGAAGCCCAGGAATTTAATTTTTTAAAGTAACTTTCTGTATTTAGAAAAATAGCAAATGTTTGTTGTAGAAAGTTGGGATGCTAGCCAAAGAACAAATAAAAAGGGGAGATTTACAAAGAACGTGTTAAGTTAGTCAATTCTCACCACTCATAATTAACCAGTGTTGTTACTGTGATTTTCCATCTCAGCATGTGCGTGTGTGTGTGTCTGTGTGTGTATTAGTAACTACACTTTAAAAAGCAAATGTGGATGCTATATTTCTCCCTCTGTGTATTTTTCATTCAACGTATCATAAAATTTTTCTCATTAACAATTGATTTTACTCTTTTTTCTGTAGGTTTTTTGAGCAGTGCTAAAGTGGAATAACGTCAAAGTGTCATTTCTTCTTTCTCTAAAAAATCTTAATACTTTTAAACATGTTTATGAAGATATGTTTGATATAAAACTACCTAAAATAAACTATTAGTGGTCAGTGAGCTGGGAAGTAGCAAATGGGTTGACTGTATTTAAATAAAATCATATTATCTAAAGAGGGGTCCTTTACCTGAACAAAACTTGCTTCATTGTTCATGTTCCATGTTTCATGTTCCCTGATGAGTCCCTAGTTGGATTTGAATTTTGAAATCCCAAACTTACTGCCAAAGGGAACTGCCAAAGGGAAGTGCCAAAGGGAATTGTGTCTCAAAGTTTTTGTTTTTGTTTTTCAGTCAAACACCTATAGGGAATGCATGTGATAGATTTTAGTTTGGTTTTTAAAGGCAACAAAAGCCAGAATTCTTGTAGGAGTCTCAAGGTTTCAGTCTTTCGTTTGCGAAAACTTCTCAGTAGAAATCATACCATACTGACAAAACTTTTTAAATAGATTATAATCTTTTCAAGGAAACTCTTGATTTTTTTTTAACCCAGATTAGAAAATATCCATTATGTTAACTCTAAATCTAAAAAGAGTTCAATACATGCAATTAGACTCCCAGGATTATTTAAGGAAAAAATAAAGGCTTTGAGGGTAGGAACTATGTCTTTTTCATCTTTATATCTCTTAAGCTTGAGCGTAGTGTGTCTCACGTAACAGGCACGCAATGAACGTGTTATAAAATCAACATAAAATCATTTCATTAAGATCTCTACAGACGAGGAAACTGAGACCAAATAAGGTTAAGCAATTTGTCCAATGTCACCCAAGGATTTAGAGGCTTCTTCTTGTCCCTCCCTCTTGCCCTCTACCTTTCATTATAGGAGTATATTTCTTGTCCCTCCCTCTTGCCCTCTACCTTTCATTATAGGAGTATATTTTATTTGTTTAACTTGCTGGATATAGAGATAGCAATGTAGAGTTTTATGTTTCCCCTAGTCTTCATTTACTTAAAGGGAAGACATGTATATTTAATGCACATATATTACATATTACATTATATGTTGTAAATAATTCATCTAAGTAGATGAAAATTTTATTTCCGTGGCTCTTTATTGAACTTTCCCCCTGATGACAAGATACCTATATGGGAAAAAAATTCTCTTCACATATCTGGCAAATTCCAGGTTCTTTTCTAACTGAAGACCTCAAACCTTGAAGTACTGAGTGCTATGAGAGTGAATGTATTAGCAAGTAACATTTATATAGTACTTTATAGTTCACAAAAGTCTTAAACAATGAACGATCTTTTTGATGATGCAGCATTGACCTCATCTCCACAGAATAAAAGTGATCCCCACTATTTATGCCTGGCACATCAGGTTAATAAACACATCAAGCTTCACCTACTTTAGTTCACATTTTTCTTCTTCAGCATCTGCCCAGGAATAGGTGCTAATAAATCGATGTAATGAGGGACGGTGTTCACTCTGCTTTGACCCCAAAATACGCCTAAATAAAGACGATTATAGCCACTTGTCAAATCAAATACTTCTGTAGCCATTACCAATTTATTTCCCACTACCTAAATCAATACAAAAACGATACATTCTTATTTTTTCCTTGGCATATTCATATAATGCTTATTTCATAAGAAATAATTTCATGAACATATGCCAATTTTTATAATTATTCTGAATATACTCCATACAAATCAAATGTTACTATATCACTTATTTCAAACATTTACTTTAGCCCAGTTATAAAACAGTAAGGTTCCCAAAGAGCGACCATAAAATTACACTTACCAACTGCTTGACCTCCTACTGAATCGGTCATTATTTTCCATCCCAGCCACCTTTAAAGTTCAGATGTTAAGAAAATAATAAAATATGAATTTAGTGAAGTAAATTTATATTTCTGTCATATGAAAATAAATTTTCTTTTGACTAAGAACACTTAGGGATTTGCTTACCATTCCTGCATTTCCAATATTTCTGGGCAAAGAGGCAATGGTCACTCTTCGAAGAGAAGATGGCTACCCAAAGGGGGAAAATGTACACTTAGAAAATTCTCAATGTTTTATCCTTGTATGAAACACTGATGGGTATTCTTGAATGTACACATCTATGTACTTGACCACTGATGAGTTAAACAGGAGACATATTTTCAAGGATTTTGTTATGGCCAGACTGCCTTCCGGAAATATTCTGCCGATTTATATTCTACCTTCTCCAACAATGGATAATTTTTGCCAATCAAGTAAGGAATATAAGGCTTTCTGTTTAGGTTTCTAGTAACACTGAACACTGTTTTTCTATGCCAAATAACCCTGTACATATCTGCTCTGAGAACCACCTGTTTAGGATTTTTGCCTATATTCATTTTGTTAATGATATTTCTTGGCAGAATTTTTTTATTGTTAATGTAGCCAAATCTTTTCATCTCTTTCTCTCTCTCTCTCTCTTTTTTTTTTTTTTTTTTTTTTGTTATCTTTGGTTTTGTTTTGTTTTGTTTTTGGCCACATCGTGTGGCATGCAGGATCTCAGTTCTCTGACCAGGGATCGAACCCGTGCCGCCTGCAATGGAAGCATGGAATCTTAAACACTGGACCTCCAGGGAAGTCCCTCATCTCTTCCCCTCTTTTGCTACCATTTCTTTTATGCTTGGAAAGGTTTTCTCCAACTCAAGAGGAGATAAATATGCACCTATTTTAGGGATTTTTTTTCATGGTTTCATTTTTTCCATTTAATACATTTAAGGATGAGTATGACATTATAATGAATGGATGTGTTTATACCTCAGCCTTGAGATTTGTACAGGAGAATGTTATATTGTGTGGCTCTTCACATTTAAATAAGTAGAACTTCAGGAAATAAACTGAAGACGTTTTAAGTGAATTCTTTTCTTAAGCCACCATTTCTAATTTAATTTTATAGGTTAGGTGAACATCAAAAATATCAAATTGTGGTCCAAAAACCTGGGTTCTAATCATGATTCTATCACTACAGGATCATAACTAATCACTTAACTTCGGTGAAAGTTCATTTCCTCATCTGTGAAAAAGATTTGGATGGAATGATTTTAAAGTCCCTTGCTCAAAAATTCAGTGAAATGTTTTCAAACTGACAAAAACTGCTGGTTGACTTTCAATATCCTGTTTTCCCCTTCTACTTAGTAACAAACCCCACTAATTTTTAGTTAGGCATACAGCCTCCAGAACAAAAGCTGTCTTCATCTTATTTCCAACAAAGAATGAAAAGGGAAATGTTATCTGGGACTTCTAGGAAGTGTCTTCAGAGGTAGAGAGAACACCCGTTCTTGCTTCTTCCTTTTTCTTGGAGCAGGACTCAACATAATGACCAGGACTTGGTACCCAGAAATGACAAAGCTATCTTAGACTATGAGATGGAAGCAAAGCGCTTAGGTGGATGACTTGGCAAGAGAGACGGGGACTGGGATTCTGTGAAGCTGCTCTGCCGTCGTTGGACTGCTCATTCCCAACTTTGGTTTCACATGAGAGAGAAACTATCGTTATACTGGCTTTCCTCTCGCTGCCAGGCAAAGTTAATTGATATACAAATATTGCAAGAAGTACAAAAGCGTACACATATAAACATAAACACACATGTATATATACATAACACATATATATGAATTAAAATCACTGTTGTTTTATGATTTAAAGCCATGTTGCTTCAAGTAATATTTTAAAACCATCTCAGCTATAACATTTGATAGATATTTGTTACCTTAGAGTTTAGAGAAGCTGAACGTTTTTTAATTTGGCAGTCACCTGAAAGGGAAAACACATTTGTGTATTTTTGGAATTACATGTGCAATTTAACGCAATGGTCTTAATTCTTTACAAAGAAAAGCAATGGTTAGAAAATATTTATTTAAGACCCTAGACACTACTGAGCAATATAAATATCTGGTTATCATTTATTTGGTGATTCACAACGTTAGTAATCTGAACCAATGGAATACAGTCCTCTATGTCACTGCCAATGTCCACAATGCCTGCCTAGCACAGAGGGGGCACTAAATGAATGTCTGCTGAATCAATGAGCTCAAAATTACAGATCAGAAGATCATCACATGTTATTACTTTTCAAGAAGAGGGAACAGATCATTAAAATGAAAATTCTGCCTATAAACATTCATACTGTCTATTTAAAGTAAAACTATAAGGTTTATATAAGCCTTCTGTTAAGATATTCTCCATGGTCTCAGATGTCTCCCTATTTTCCAATCTATTCATCAGCTTACTCTGTCACAGTCCTTCCTTGTTCGAGGGATACAAAACCATTGTTGATAAGAGTGGTTCATTTATGCTATTGTGCCTTGCTTTATGTGTGGAGAAAAAGCCAATTCTAACATATCCTAAGGAAGACAACCCTGGAGTCAACTCAGTGAGTTGGATTAGTTATATTCTCTCATGTCATCATTTTAATGAAATCTTGGTGTCTACCATAAAGTCCATCTTGTCTCCTAATTTGTTTTCTAACTGACATCTTACTCTGGGCTATATAAATAACAGGAATGAGTTGTTTCTTATATTCTATATATCATATCCTTCTAATATAATCTTAACATAAGGGTCTTATACTAAAGATTATATAATAATTAGTAAGAGAGAGAATGAAAAAGAAGAAAGTTAGAAAAACATAACATACAATTATCTTAAACTTTTATTACCTTCATCTTCAAGAGGGTTAAAAGTCCTTTCATTTTGCAAAAGAACCTGTTTTAGTTCTTCTAATTCAGCATGTTCTTTGGCATACATTCTCTTCAGATTTTCTACATGCTGAATCATCACTTCGACAGCTTTACTAACCCGACTTTCCTAGCAGGAAAAAAAAAAAGAACAAATTTAGGGCTTCCCTGCTGGCGCAGTGGTTGAGAGTCCGCCTGCCGATGCAGGGAACACGGGTTCGTGCCCTGGTCTGGGAAGATCCCACATGCCGCGGAGCGGCGGGGCCCATGAGCCATGGCCGCTGAGCCTGCGCGTCCGGAACCTGAGAGGCCCGCGTACCGGAAAAAAAAAAAAAAAAAAAAAGAACAAATTTACATTGAAAATACTATTCTTGATACGCAGTTAAAAGACAGTGAATGAGACACATGCACTTATCTTCACTCCATCCTTAAATCCTACAAAAATGACAAGGGATTTTTTTTTAAGGCATGAATAGACAAGGGTAAATAGAATGGAAGAGGATATGACAAAGTTTTGAACACCTGCCAAGTAGAAGGACCGGTGGTAAATGACTAAGACCTGAAAAGCTGAACCCTAAAAAAAAGCAGTAAGAAAAACCTAGAAGCCACCTGGGTTATACCACAGAAAGCTGCAAATGCTCAGGAATTAGTGGTGCCTTTGGAATTAAGCTTGAAGATAGAACAGAAGAAATGGTTGAAAATCTGTGTAAAAAGTGATTAGATCCACAGATCCCCTCCCTTACTCAGGTCAGCTGAGCCCCTCTACCACTTTGGTGAAAGACTACAAAAGCTGGCTATCTAGAGAGAGTTAACCAGAGTGTCTGTGGATTGAGCAGTAACAAATAGTTGATGGTGAGTGGATCATACAGAAAAGAACAGATTTAAGCAAAAGTCTATATATATATTGAATCTAGAGATATGGAGCCTTATTCTTCCAACTATCAAACACTTGTAGCCATGCTTATACTCTCAAGACTGGCAGTTGGAAGACTTTTCTCTGAGGAATCTAACATCGCAAGATGACAGTCTTAAAACTACCAACGTTAAGAGTATCCCAGTGACACAACCTAGCTTGTGTGAAGCTCAGAGGCAACAAGAAACTTCCCCACCCAACATATACAGAGCTCCCAGTCAGCTGTATAGTGGGTCATCACTAGTCAGAGGAAAGCCTCTAGCCTGAGAAAAGGAAATCAAAACAAAAAGAAAAAACTAAAATTTCAATGAAACTATCAATATTTCCAGAAAAGTAAGAATAAGTATTGCATCTATGAAATAAGAACAAGATATTAAAAAGCAACATTCTGAGAATTTTAGAAGTCTGGAAATTAAAAATATGATAAAAAAAATATGCAACTTAAGAGAAGAGTTTCAAGATAAGGTTAAGGAAATTTCTCTGAAACTAGAGCAAAAAGACAAAAATGTAGAAAACAGGCAAGAAAGGACCAGTTCGGAGAAAGGAATTCAAGAAGTATAGAAAATGTAGAAAAATTCCATCAAATGTAGAAAAGGAAACAGTTCAAGAAAATCCCTGAACTCAAGAAATAACTTTCCAGCTTAGGACCTAAAACAGTGGTTGAAAATAAACCCATGCCAAGGAAGGACAGTAGGGGTAAGAGGATACCCTAAAAGCTTCTGGAAAGTAAAAAGGGGTTATAAACAAAAGTTCAAGGGTCAGAATGGCATCAAAGTTTGATAGCAACTCCAGAAGCTAAGAAGAAGATGAAAAATTATGAAGGAAATGATTTCTAATCTAGAATCCTTCACCCAGCTACCGTAAAGACATAAAGAATAAAGCCATTTTCAGTTATATAACATTTTTAAAAGTTTACCTCCCAGGCATTCTCTCCCTCAGAAAAACGCGTGAGATGTTCCACCAAAATAAAAAAGTAAGCCAGCAAAGAAGGAGGTATGGGATTCAGGAAATGGGATTCAACTCAAGAAAGAAGTGAAAGAAATCTTCATTTAAGAATTCCTAAGACTTTTGTGGTAAGCCTGAAGATCAGTCAGTTGAGACTGACAGGTCAAAAATCTCTGGAAGCAACATCTCAATGAAGAAATTGACAGAATACCTGATGAGTCTGAATGTATTGTGAGATCTAGACTCCCTGGGAGAGGCTGAGAATAAATTAGACATAAGTAAATAGAAAACTAAGCATAACAATCATGGCAAAGGAAAATGATTAACTCCATGAAGAACATGAACATTGTGCAAAGAAGGAAAAGACATCATAACAGACTACTGTCTCTGCTGTGAATAGAATTTACACGGGCATAATAATGTTTACAGATAATATAGATCTAATATTATTCATCCACTTTTTTTTTTTTTTTTTTCGGTACGGGGGCCTCTCCCTGCTGTGGCCTCTCCCGTTGCGGA